CACCCCCACCCCCCACCTGCCTCCTGCCGGGCCCGCGCTCAGCCCGGGTCGGTGCCGGGCCCTGGCTCCCCACCAGGAGCGGCCATGTGTCCCTGGATCGCACTGTGCTTCATAGATACATACGTTAACATTAGCTCTGTGTGTTTGTGTGTGTGTGTGTAAATAATCTGGCACGGTGGCCTCGATCGTAATTCTAAGGAAGCCGTGGTGCTGGGTTGTGTGTGTAAATCTGCATTGCCAGGCCTCGTTTGCCTTCATTCCCAAACCCTGTCCGAGTTGAACACGGGAAGATTGCGACCCATTTAAATGGACGGAATTTTGTTACCCTCCCAACCCCCTCCCAACAGGGTCCCGGGAAGGTGTGGCCTTTTTGTTAAATGACTGTACTGATGTAAACATTCAGCAGCATCGGGAGGAAGAGAAAGGAGAGGCTAGCGCTCCTTGGGAAACCAGTTAAGTTCTCCACAAATAAAAGTCGTTAAATTGTCAGTGTTCCTGGGAAAATCTCGCAAGACACGCAGAGATTCACAGTGTCTGGTAGCTGTGGATTAGACTAAAAGCAAGGCCTGGGCCGACCCACACTGGGCTTTGCTTCTGAGTCTTTTCTCCTTCCTAGACTTTTGCCAGGATGCACCTTCCGAACTCCTGCTGAGTCCTCCTAGATCCCTAGGAAGTGTTCTTCAAACCTTTCTTCTAAAGCCCACCAAGTCAGCCCTTCCTCCTGAACTACAAGGTCACCGGGTGGCTACTGATAATTAACATTCAACCCCTGAACCACCTGTGGCTGACAAGTGTTGGTTTGACTCAGTTTTAATGCCACTGAGCCACATTAAGATCCTGCAATTTTAGAAAACACAACTCATTTCTGTTTTTTAACTTAATATGGACAATGTGTAACATAAGTTATTTTTTAAATGGGAAAAGAATGGAACATTATTCTTCATCTTTCTGCAGTTTTCTCTTTGCTAATTGTGTCTTGTTTTAAATCTTGTTATTGTGTTTGAGTAACTCTAACAAGCGCAAAGCCTGCTGATTTTAAAAAGAGAATGTTTTCTTACAAATTGATACGCGCTCAAGTTTTGGATGAATGAGATTACCTTGTTTTTAAATTTTTCTTTCCTTGATTTGTTTTGAGAAAATATCAGCACATTGGATTTTTAAGTTCTTTTCAGCTTGAACTAATATGATCTTAATTGCAGGGGTTATTTTTGTATTGGTACTGGCATTAATTATTTTTTCTTCCTTGGTTTTCACATTTATATTTCAGTTCCCTTAAGTAACTCTGATACTATTATCCTAAAAGTTTCTGGTTAATGTTCTAAATTTTGCTACCTTCCCTTAAGTAATTTTGGTACCATTATCCTAAAAAAATGAGGTTAGTGTTCTAAATTTTGCTGTCTGATATTGGAAAATAATACTTAATATTTTCAAGTATTACCTGCAAACTCATGGAACAAAGAAAATGCTACATGATTTGGAGTTTCTAAAAGTTTTTTTTTTTTTCCGAATGAGAATTGTTGCAAATGTTTAAATACTTGAAAGAACAATAAGAATAGGAGTGAATTTAAAATGACTGAAGTGGATTTTAAATGATTAAAAAGTACTACTTAAGAAAATTATGTGGTGAGGGGCTGGGAAGGTGGCTCAGTGGTAGAGCGCTTGCCTTGCATGTATGAGGCCCTGGGTTCAATTCCTCAGCACCACATAAGCAAAAAGAAAAAAGCCGGAAGTGGCGCTGTGGCTCAAGTGGTAGAGCGCCAGCCTTGAGCTGAAGAGCTGAGAGACAGCACCCAGGCCCAGAGTTCAAGCCCCACTACTGGACCCCCCCCCAAAAAAAAGAAAATTACGTGGTGATATACATAGCATTTAGTCATCTTTGCAAAGCAGCTTTCCCCTTTATTACCAAGGAGTTTCAAGATAGAATATGTCTATGTTTAATAATAAGAAAATGAAATGTGTGTTTCAGAGAACCTTAGAAGGAGCAGACTTTGGTTAGAGGTTGGCACTTGAAAGCTTATTATGATAATGATGGTGATAGGGTCTTGAACTCTGGGCCTGGCTGTCCCTGATCTGCTTTTTCTCAAGGCAAGTGCTCCACTACTTGAGCCCCAACACCACTTCTAGAGTTTTTGAATAGTTTATTGAGAATGAGAGTCTCATGGAGTCTCCTACTGTGGCTGGCTTAGACTGCAAACAATGATCCTCAGATCTCAGCCTCCTACATAGATAGCAAGGATTACAGGATTACAGGCATGAGTCACCAGTGCTGGCAAAGCTCATTCTTATCACAAGTCCCAAAGGTTATCATTTTGTAATGTTTTTAGAGCATTTATGAAACCTAGTAAAAGGCCCCCTTGTTTCAAAAAACATTTTGATTCTAATCCCCAAAGTCGTTTGAACACTCTTGAGTTTGTTCTGAATTAGTTATATCCCACAGAATTTGGGAATACTTTTTTCTGCTGGTTTACTGTAAGAGTTCTCTTTTTCATTAGACATGGGAAAGTCTTTTTCTCACTTGCCTTTGCATTCAAATAAAGAAGATGGTTATGACGGAGTCATATCAAATGAAAATATGAAGAGTGGATTAGTTAATAATGAAGTCCATAATGAAGATGGAAGAAATGGAGATGTCTCTCAGTTTCCCTATGTGGAATTCACAGGAAGAGACAGTGTCACTTGTCCCACTTGTCAAGGAACAGGAAGAATTCCTAGGGGTAAGTGTTATGATTCCATTCATTTGCTCAAATAATATAAAACCTGCGGCTTATAGCAGCTCTATTTTTAATAAATCTCTGCTTTTAGTAGCTTTACTTTTATGTTACAAACTTCCTGTCAATTATCTTCAGTCAAAAAGATAGAATGAAATAAATAGTAGTTTAGGTTCCTAAAGTAGTAATGAAAATGATTTCACTTTATTTAGTGTACATATTTTTTTTCTTTCCTACATATTATAGCTATTATACACCAATGTTTAACTGATCTAGCACTTGTAACTCAATATGTAAATTATTACAAGTTGTTTACGTCCTAGTGGGTTACTTCTAAAAGGAACTCTGTGGTACTTGAAGATAACCCAAGTAGGACCAAAAGTTTAGTTTGTGGTCAATCACAGGGGAAGTCAAAAGGAAATAATTGCTATGTGTTGTTTGTAAAAGTAGTAAGTCAAAAATAGAGAAGATACCTTGGACTGGTCTCATTTTCTCCTTGGTAAATGTTGATGTAAGACCCTAACGGAAGGATGAACAAAGATGAGCTAGACCAGAGGCTCAGAGAAAGCCTTGAATTAGACATGGAAAGTTTACGTTTGCATTGGCTGTGGAATATGATGGTTTTAACTTTTCAGGGAAAATAGCTGTTGAAAACAAAAGAATTACTGTTCTCCGAGAAATTATTGGGGTGTGGCATTTTTGGCAGTCTAGTTATGTTTTTGAAGTATGAACAATAGGCTTTTTTTGCAGCTTAGATAAAAACCATAGAGAGTAGGTAACCTAAGAATGACTCCATAATTTGTTTTGTTTCTTAGCAATTTGGGATAATGAAATAGCAGTTTGTTAAAATAGAGAAAAGAGGAGTTGAATATATATATATATGTATATATATATACATATATATATATATGTCTGTCAGGAGCAAGATTTGGAGCTCAACTTTAGGTACGTGTATTTTGAATTGTCTGTTTGATGTTGAGGTAGATGATTTCAGTCTGTAGTTATTATAGAGATCAGGAATTTCAAGTGCCATACTTAGCCTGAACAAAGACATCCTCACTGTATAGGTGACCCCCCAAACTAGATGAGAACAAAATGAGACCACTCTAAGCTTGTTAGTTTGTATAGAAAAGAAGAGATCTTTGCACTAGAAACTGGAACACTACAGCATTTCAAGGTCAGTGGCATGAGAATTTGCAGCTTGAGTGGGAGAAAGAAATTCCTATGCCTGTGATGTCCTACAAGATAAGTGAACAGAGTGTCCTGATGAGCAGTCAGCACACAGGAGCAGTCAGCTATTAATGCTACTGGGGCTAAGAACTGATCATCTGATTTAATGATACGGAACTAGAGATCTGGAAAAGAACAGCCTGGGTAGATTGCAAAATCATGTGTTGAAAATGCTATGATCAAACACATTATTTTGATTTATTAATGTATGCTAATAAAAAAGGACAGGCATGTAACCATATATAATAGGGGGACAAGAACATTTAGAAAAACTTGTTTGGAGAAAAATAGTTTTTTGTGTTTTTGGTTTTTTTGAAGTGCTTGGCTTTATGGAAAGAGGAAAAAACAGAGGTGGTTGGAGGGGGTTGGGAGGTCAGGAAAGGGATTTTTTTTTTTTTTTGTCAGTTGTGGGGCTTGAACTTAGGGCCTAGGTGCTGTCCCTGAGCTCTTTTTGCTCAGGGCTAGTGCTTTACCACTTTGAGCCCCATTGCTACTTCAGTTTTTGTTTTTTTTTCTGATGGTTAATTGAGATATGAGTCTCACAGACTTTTCTGCCCAGGATGGCTTTAAAGTAAGATCCTCAGATCTCAGTCCCCTGAGTAGCTCAGGTTACAGGTGTGAGCTACCTGGTGGGATTTGTGTGAATAGTAAGATGTTTGTGTAGTGATGAAAGTGGTCTGTGGGGGGAAATTAGTATGCAAATGATGGGACATGTGTTGGAACAGTGTTTTTAAGTAGGAAGATGAGGATGAAATCTAGTATATAAAAGAGTGCTGTTCTTATCTAGGTATATAGGAAGATTATTTTTAGTCTTTAGAGAAGGTACAGAGTTTGGGCAGAAAAACAAGTTACTAGGTAGATACTGATATATCACATTTTCAGAGTAAGAGGTCTCTCAAACACAGGGTTAATTGAACTGTTACAGATTTTGGACAGATGTGAAAAAAACTTGAAACAAATTCCTTAAGTTCCCAACAGTGTGGTTAGATAATGTCTGCTGGACATTTAGGGGCCAACATATTTTATAATGAAATTTTAGGAGAAGACACATAAATCATTTACATTGAACTTACATTGGCTATGAGTAAGATAACAGAAATCAAGCAAGTTCTTGGGATAGGAAGACAGTTCACAAAGAAGTTTTGATGTTTCTTAGTTAATTTGGGAAAGAAATATGGAATGCTGTTTTTCATTTTGTTGATTTAGAGTTAACATGAAATTTTCTTTTTAAAAAAATTTATTTATATTGTGAAAATACTGTACAGGGGGTTACAATTACATGGGCAAGGTAATGAGTGCATTTCTTACCAAGCATTTTTGCCTCCTCCTTTGTTTTCTTTTTATTCCATTCCATGTTCTGTAATTTAACTGAGGAGGACATGTAAGAATGCTTTTCTTGTCAATATGATGGTAGGAGTTTATAGACTTCGCTTCTCCCCTCTCCTCACCTCACCTTCTTTCCCCATCATGAATCAGGAATGAAGATTAAGGAGAATGTCCAAGATGCATAGTTGAAAAAGAGTGGATATTTTGAATTGTCTTTCTGGAGAGTTGTATTGAAAGTATGAACTAGGAATATACAGTATGATTGTTGGTGTCATTGTGAGTCACTTAAAATTAGTAATCTCAGAAGGACCAATGAACTTTGGTATTCAGGGAGGGGTAGTGTAAGGCCTCCTGTGGTAATGGAAGTTTCTGGAAAGAGAGGCAACTCTGTATATTCTGTTGTCAACCAAATCAAAGTCTTGATGGAAAACAGTGAAGTTACAGGGAGGCATGGTACATTTAGATCTTCTAAAGCTAAGAAATCTTTAGATATCTTTCAGTGGATCAAAGAGTACTATAGCCATTATTCTGAACACTGTTTTCATTAGCTACACATCTATATGGAAAGAGAAGGAATGAGATGAGAACCAAAAGATAGCTTGTTCTTCCCAAACCATATTCTGATTATTCTTAATTCATTGTGTTAATGAATATCTAACCCTGCTTCTTTCACTTTCAGGACAAGAAAACCAGTTGGTGGCATTGATTCCATATAGTGATCAAAGATTAAGGCCAAGAAGAACGTAAGTGATTATAAAAAGATGGCAGTGTTTTTGTATCATTTTCCTTTTAAATGTATGCATAAATACTTAGGTAATTAAGAAAATTAAAAGGAAAAATGTATCAAAATTTTCAATTATGGCATTAAATGCTTTGTTTCATTAAGCAAAAAAGATTCCTAGCCAGGTGCTGGTGGCTCACACCTGTAATCCCAGCTACTCAGGAGGTTGAGATCTTGAGGATCTCAGTTCAAAGTTGGCTAGGGCAAGAAAGTCTATAAGACTCTTTAGTTAACTACACTAGATTCAGAGTGGAGCTGTGGCTCAAGTGTTACAGTGGTAGCCTTAAGTGAGAAAGCTCAAGGACACAGCTCAGGCCCTGAGTTCAAGCCGCAGGACTGGCAAGTACACACATACACACACAAACACACACACATGTGTGCACAAACATGCACACACACTTGTGGACACATGGCACATACACTGTTAGAGTGAGATTTCCTTTTTAAAGTTTAATTTTTAGGTATACTTCTTTATCATCAGTGCACAGTGAGACTTGGAAGCAGCATAATATCTGTATCTTCTGAATTTATTAACACAGATTTAAAATAGTAGTAGGTAACAAACATGCATACATGTCATTTTTATCAAAAAATAGGTGATAAACTATTGTCACCAGCCCCAGAATAAAAATGAGTATTAAACTGTCATGACTGTAGGGACCCACACATGGCTCAACAGGCCACATGGAGATTGTGATAAAAGCAAAAGGGATTTTCCAGTGGTTTAAGAGCCCTGAGGCACAAAGCAAATGCTCTGCCCCAGTGTTCTAAGACAGTCTCAGAATTAGAGAGGTCGGTACTCATAAAAGCCATCCTTTTTAATGGAGCCTCTAAACTGAAATCCTGTCCATCTTCACAACCCAAAATAGAATTTTCTTTTTTATATTTGCAAGTATAGGAGTTTGAACTCAGGGCCTCCTCACACTTGTTTGCTTAGTTGAATCAGACTTCCAGCTAACTTTTTGCTGATTATCTTGGAGGTGGAGTCTCATGGACTTCTCTGCCTGTGCTGACCTCAAACAGCAATCCTTCAGGTCTTAGCCTCCTAACAACTAGGATTATAGGTGTAATCTATCTGCTTCTGCCTGAAATCTTTTTTGAATATACAAAAACTCTACATTTAACATGAACAACAGAAATAAGTTATACTCTAGCATCATGATTTATTTTTTAATTTGAAAAATGTACAATGCTGAAAGGTGATAAAAGCATATGAAAAGCTGATGAAAACTTATCTTGAAATATAGTAAATGCACAAAATATACTTAACATGTGATATAATCAAGAAATTCCAAACCTACAGAACCATGATAAAATGTCATCAGTCAAAAGTTGGAAAGTTCAGAAATGAGATAACTATAAACAGTGGAAGGATGTGAAAGTAGAGTTTACAGGCTCCTTAAAAGAATTAAGAAAATACTGTTTAGTCATAAAACAGGAAGACCGCAAGTGCAAATAAATAGCCAAGAAAGCACAAGAAGGGAGATAGAGAATTAAGACAAGTGATTGAAAAAGTTTTGAGAAAAAAGACAAGGAAAATTCAACAAATACGTAACTGGAGCCCCTGAACAAGAAAATCAGTGATCTAAAATACCCATTTAAATGGACAACACAACCATGATGTAAATGAAGACTCAGCTTTGTATTTTAAAAATAAACACCAACCATCTTGAAAACATTCCAGTAAAATTGATGAACTTTGAAAATTTAAAAAAAAATCTTGCTGGGGATATAGTTCAAAGGCTGTAGGATTTGCAAGTCCTAGACTCTGGGGCTCATTCAGTACATGTATCATTTTTAAGAAAGTCTTTGAGCTGAGTATTGGTGGCTCATGTAATCCTAACTACCCAGGAGGCTGAGACCTCAGGGTCACAGTTCAAAGGTAGGAAGAAAGTCCATGAGATTTACCTCCAATCAACCACTAGGAAAATGGAGGTAGAACTATGGCTCAAAGTGGTAAAATGCTAGCCTTGATCAATAGGGCTCAGGGACGGCACCAGGCCCTGAGTTCAAGCCCCACGACTGACAAAAACAAAAAACAAGTCTTTCAACATTGAGGCAAAAGGATTGTATACTTGATAAGAGAGGGGTAGAAAATCAGATTGACATGCTTGACTATTGGCCACAGTACAATAATTCATAAAATCACATATTTAGTAATCATAGAGATAAAACAAGGATATTATAAAGTGTCAGACTGACCATTATATTAAAATGAAAGAAGAGATAATGAGAGAAAGTTTAGGACTAAAATCTGTATAGCCTCAGAGTGGGAAAACTTTTCAACCATGATTTAGAATCCAAGACATATGAAACAATAAATATGTCATAGTTCAGATACAGTTTTACAGGTTGAAAACAAAAACTTAATTGATATTGAAATACAAATGGCAAACAAATAATGTCTACAAATCAGTCAAATGCAGGGGTCCAATGCTGTTTCTATACAAAGCTTCAATAATTTTTGGGTAGGAGTTGGGGGTAAGCCAGCTATCAGAGGAAAACAGAATAGAAACTATGACCACCTCATTCCCAAAATGACCTTTACATTTATAAAAATGTTTTCATCTTGCTCATAAAAAATGAAAATTAAAGTTACATGGAGATTAACAAAAATCCAAAATCTTATATAAACAAACCCACACCTTGCTTGCCAGTGACCAGAGGTTTGGTATTATCCTGCAAAATTGTATATGTGTTTACTCCAGGGCTCAGAAATTCTACTTAAGAAAATTATTGTCAGTATAGTTGTCAAGTATAATAAATGGTATTTACACAATGTATTCATTTTTCCAGTATTTATAACAGTAAACAGAAACAATAGCCAGTAATAGAAGATTCTACTGTACACAGTACTCAGATAGAATGAGAAAGAACTATATTTTCCTACAATGTGATACTTAGAACATTTATTTATATGAAACACATGTACACAATAGAATACTAATCTAAAAATTATACAATTGGTTTTCCTCAGAGTTTGGAAAGGAACTTCAAAACGAAGGAACAGCTAAGTAACATCTTTGATCTTATTTTTTTCCACAAAAGATTACATCAATACAGTAACACCTAAAATTGAAATGAGAGGAAATGAATTATCCTAACTGTATATCAAGTTGGTCAGTAAATACAGATTAACTAATCGACTTGAAAGCCTATTTGGATTGTCTAATAAGATCTCTAAGTGGCCAAGAGAATGATAACAAATTTTAACCTGCTCTAAACAGTTTCACTGTTAGAAGTATTGCCAGTGTAATTTTGAAATTGTTGTGAAAAAATAAAATATGTAATTATGTATGTGCCATTAGAGAAAGAGATTTTCAGCCTAAAAGCAAAGAGATACCATATCAAATAAACTGGATTTTCTAGTTCTGACAAAAGGTGGTACAACAAATTCTGTAAAAAGATAAACTTTGTAGCCAGCAAAAAGACAGTAGAGGTCAGGTGTTAGAAGCAAGGCTGAACCAGATGATGTAGAGGATTTTTAGGAAAGTGAAGCTATACTATATGGTTCTCATGGACACATGACATGATGCATTTTTCAAAATCCACTGAATGCAGATGATTATAATACTTTTCCATTTTGTGAGGGATTTGGTGGTAAGGGAGAGGCTGAATGATCCTGTGCTTTCCACTAATTTTGCTGTGACTCTTAATAGGGCTCTAATAAAGGCAATTAAAATATTTTTTTAATTTTAAAATAAGGGAAGAAATAATGGAATAACAAAGACTTGATTTACTTTCCCTCCCAAAATAACTAGAACATGCACAAATACATGGAACACATATTCAATGTATGTCAGGCAGGACAGGATAGTCATCTTTGAAAAGGGGAAAAACTTGGACTTGCAAGTCCAAGTTCTGGACTGCACCACAAGGAAAGGAATCTGTGGAGTTTAGGAGTCTTTCCTAAGTGAGGAACTGGGCCTGGGGGGGTCAAGTAGCAGAGGCCAAGAGCTGCAGGGAGAGCTGTTAACCTGCAGCTCAGTAAGATGCAAGTCCTGAGATCAGGGAAGACTAACCAGCAGGAGCAGAAGGAATAATCTGCAGAGCTCACATAAGGCCTTTAAGAATTTGTGAATTTGTAAAAAGATGGCATTATTTTAGAATTATTTCTGGGTCTTTATAAGTTGGAAAGAGTTGTGTTAAGATAATCCAGAAATTATAGTACTAAATATTTTCTCTACAAAATTTAGTTATACTACTTAATCCTCAAAACCTGTAAATTTTAAAGTGAAAGGGGAGGAATAAGTTACTATAGATAGTGGAGGTAGGAAACGTCATACATAGAGGTCTATCTTGTACTTCACACATACCACAGACCATTGTAACTTTATCAGTACTACACAACTCTGAGGGTTTGACTGTTGCCACTATGATCGTAAGAACATTTATCACTGGTGAAATTCTAATAAATATCAAGATATTTTATCAGTAAATTAGCCATTTTTTCCTATATGGAATGAAATACTACTGTCATTTTATTGTCCCACTAGGCTTAATAATTTCTATAACTGTAAACTCAGCATGCAAGCTCACTCAGAACACAGTGGATACATATAGTCACTGGAGCTAATTTAGAGGACCTAAGCACTAAGTCATGGAAGACTCACTTGCCAGTACATCATTTAAATATAAAAATATAAGAAAGTCCAGATATTTTGTCACACTAATTTTTAAATGCTTTTATAGCAAACATTTAGGTGTCTGGGTATAATGTAGTTAACTATAAACCTATGTTTAAACTACTTCTTAGAAACCCAGTAGTTAATTACCCTGAAAATTTTAGAATATGTCTTTAAGAAGCTTTTCAGTAGCTGTTAGGAGGTTACAAAATTTTCTGGGAGATGGTGGAAGTAAGGAAAAAATGAAAGCTCTTGTCTAAATTATAATTCCTTATAATTTAGTGAGTGGTATATAATGAAGTGAGTGGTAAGTAAGTAAGTCTTTAAAAGAGAAGAGCTGGAAGTGGCGCTGTGGCTCAAGTGGTAGAGCGCTCGCCTCGAGCTGAAGAGCACAAGGACAGCACCTAAGCCCGACAAAAAAAAAAAAAAAACCTAAAAGAGAAGAGTTTTTACTCCAGAGCTATAAACTGGAGTGATCGGGAAATTTGAAAGTCTAATTTTGAGAGTAACTTTGGGACATTTTCCTATATGCAGTTGGAAAGAAACTTGCAAGGAATAGAAGAGTACATTTTAGGGGCATTATAAAGATAGCATAAAGCTGTGTCAGTTATTTTTCTTGTCTTATACCAGTGTAATATTATCTGTTTTCTTGATAGAAGCTATAACATCTTCAAAATCAAGTTGGTCAGTGTAAATGATTTTTATTTTCCTGTGGTTCTGGGAATGGAACCCAGTTATGTGCTAATAAGCAAGTACTCTACTACTAAATTACGTTCACAGCCCTATAATAATTTTTTAAAATAAATATACAAGTATTTGGGGGTAAAAAAAAACCTAGAAAGACCTGATCATAACCAATGAGATTGATGAGGTATCTGTTACGTCATTATTATTTGAAGAGCTTTATAGGAGGTTTCATTACTGGAACTCAGGTCCTCACTCCCACTCCACTTTTTCACTCATTATTGCTATTCTACCAACTTGAGCCAGACCCCACTTTCCACATGTGGTTTGGATAAGCAGTCATATTTTTTAAGAATCGTAACTGGTGAAACTCATGCTCCTGTGAATTCAGAAGGAAGCCTTGAATTTTGTGTTTCTGAGCATGCTTCTACTTTGAAGAGTAGATTGGGGGCCAGTTCTGTAAATGTTCTAAGCCTGGAAATTCATATTGAAAATGTCTTCTCTGAATATTGGTTATGTAATTTTTAATATACATATGTAATTATACTCTTTTCCTTTTCAGAAAGTTGTATGTGATGGCATCTGTATTTGTCTGTCTGCTCCTTTCTGGACTGGCTGTTTTTTTCCTTTTCCCTCGTTCTATCGATGTGAAATATATTGGAGTGAAGTCAGCATATGTCAGTTATGATGTGGAAAAGCGAATAATATATTTGAATATCACAGTAAGTACATTGAAAAAGTTTTACATCATTACTGTTCTGTTGAGCAGCATTTGATTCCTATTGAGAGGATGCCCTTCAAATGTGGCCCTGACTGGTTGCCTTCCCTGCTACATTGACCCTACCATCCCTGTTCTGCTGACAGTAGCCCAGGTCACAAACCAACAATTCTGTGTGTACAGAATCATTTAAAACTTGCTAAACAATTTCTAACAAAAGAGTGTTAAAAGGCTGGGAAGGTGGCTCAGCGATAGAGTGCTTGCCTTGCATGCATAAGGCCTTGGGTTCAATTCCTCACCACCACATAAGCAGAAAAAGCCAGAAGTGGTGCTGTGGCTCAAGTGGTAGGGCGCTTAAAGAGCTGAAGAGCTGAGGGACAGCGTCCAGGCACAGAGTTCAGGTCCCACGACCTACTAAAAGAAAAAAAAAAGTGTTACAGTCAACTTACTTTTCAATATTCAAGTCTCAGAGCTCTTAGCAAGGCGTTAACATAGTTGATTCAGTAGATGTCATAAAGGTAACACTTTCGCTTCTTTGAATTTTGTGAAGTCTAGTTCTGCCATCTTTACCAGATCTTTTCTTTATCGTGTTTAAAGATGAAGTACAAATGACAGTTTGTTTTCCTGGTTGTAAATTGGTATATATGAAAGTGCCTTCTGTGTTTCTTGGGAAGGATTGTGCCCTCAGCTCTTCAGCTCAAGGCTAACATTCTACCACTTGAGCCACAGCACTACTTCCAGCTTTTTCTGCTTATGTGGTACTGAGTAATCGAACTCATGGCCTCATGCATGCAAGGCAAGCACTCTATCTACCACTAAGCCACCTTCCCAGCCCCTTCCATCTGCTTTTTGCATGTTAAAATTTGCTTAAAAATGTGGTTTGTTAACCTCATCTTTAGGAAAAAGGAACAGACTGTGTGTGTGTGTGTGTGTGTGTGTGTGTGTGTGTGTGTGTGTGTGTGTGTGTGTGTGTGCATACATGCTCACATTTCAGATGAAATAATACTGTTTTATCCCAAATTAGATCATTTTATGATATTTCATGTGACTGCTTTATAACTCATGTTTTTTTTTTGTTTTTTTTTGGGGGGGGTCTGGTCATGGGGCCTGAACTCTGGGCCTTGGCGCTGTTCCTCAGCTCTTCAGCTCAAGGCTAGCGCTCTACCACTTGAGCCACAGCACCACTTTTGGCTTTTTTCTTTTTGCTTATGTGGTGCTGAGGAATGGAACCCAGGGCCTCATGCATGCAAGGCAAGCGCTCTACCACTGAGCTACCTTCCCAGCCCACTAACTCATGTTTTTTTTTTTAATAGGTGGACTTATTTTAAAATTTAGTTAGAAAACATACCTCATGGCCTTTTTTGTGGTGGTTATTTCTGAGATAGGGTCTGCCTTCTTTGCCCAGTAAATTTTCTGAAAGTAAAATTGCCAATTCAAGATCATAGATAGCTGAAGGCCTTGGTAATAGAGCATATTATATATGTGCAACTGATTATCATGGTTCTTTTTTAAATTTTAAGTTAAATAGATTCTCCTTGCTCCCAGTGACAAAAATCTGTCCTTTATTACTAAATTTCTATTCAGACTATCTTAGTTTATTTTTTATAAGTTTCATCTGTTTTGTTTTGGGGGACTTTTGAGAGATCCTGCTGTTTGAATTCAGTGAGGGCCTTACACATGCTAGACAGATATTCTACCTCTGAGCCATATCTAATGGCCTTTTTTGTGGTGGTTATTTCTGAGATAGGGTCTGCCTTCTTTGCCTAGGTTTGCAGTTGAACCACAATCTGTCTATTTTAAGCTCTCTGCTATATCTGGTATGACAGGTACATGCCACCAAACCCAGCTTCTTTCCACAGAGAAGCGACTTTTGGACTTTTTTTTCTGAATTGACCTAGATCTGCCATCCTATTAATTTTAGACTCACACCAAGCTATGATGACAAATGTATACCACCACACCAGGTATGAGTTAAGAAGGGATCTCAGTGAACTTTTCTGCCTTGGCTGGCCTCAAACTGCATTCCATCCATTCTCAGACTTTTAAGTAGCTACGATTATAAGCTTTAGCCACTGATGCTTGGTTTTTGTTTTTATAACTATAATAATACCCGGGTGCTGGTGGCTCATGCCTGTAATACTAGCTACTCAGGAGGCTGAGATCTGAGGATCCGGGTTCAAAGCCAGCCCAGGCAGGAAAGTCCGTGAAACTCTTTATCTCCAATAAACCACGAGAAAACTGGAAATGGCGCTGTAGCTCAAGTGGTAGAGTGCTAGCTTTGAGCTGAAGAGCTGAAGGACAGCACTCAGGCCCAGAGTTCAAGCCTCACTACCTACAAAAAAAAAACTATAATAATATAGGTATAAATATATTATTTTCAGATAATCTGTATGTTTTCTGCCTTTCTTTTTCAGAATACACTAAATATAACAAACAATAATTACTATTCAGTTGAAGTTGAAAATATCACTGCACAAGTTCAGTTTTCAAAAACAGTTATTGGAAAGGCACGCTTAAACAACATTACCAATATTGGCCCTCTAGATATGAAACAGGTAAGTCTCTGTCCTGAGATAGGTTGTCATTCAGTCATGTGTGTTATCTCTCTTGAAAGAGGAGGGATGCTTTCTCAAACACTTGATTTTCAAATATGTCCCATACATGTATAAGATTAAATTTCAATGGGGCTGGGAAGGTGGCTCAGTGGTATAGTGATCTCCTAGCATGCATGAAGCCCAGGGTTCTATTCCTTAGTACCACATACACAGAAAAAGCCAGAAGTGGTGCTGTGGCTCAAGTGGTAGAGCACTCACCTTGAACACAGAGAGGCTCAGGGACAGTGCCCTGGCCCTGAGTTCAAGCCCCAGGCCTGGCAAATAAACAAAAATATTAAATTTCAGAATCAATCTCCTAAAAGAAGAGATTTCTAGCCAGGCGCCAGTGGCTCATGCCTGTAATCCTAGCTACTCAGGAGGCTGAGATCTGAGGATTGTGGTTCAAAGCCAGCCCAGGCAGGAAAGTCCGTGAGACTCTTATCTCTAATAAAAACCACTAGAAAACTAGAAGTGACCCTGTGGCTCAAGCGGTAGAGCACTCACATTGAGCTGAGGAGTGCAGGGACAGCGCTCAAGACCAGAGTTCAAGCCCCATGACCGACCAAAAACAAAAAAGAGATTTCTAGTCCTTTATTTGACAGATAATTGCAATATTTGGTATTTTAGTCTTATTTGCCATTGATTTTTTTAGTAGCATTGATTAGCTGTACAAGGAAGGATTTCATTATAGAAATTGTATTACAATTCTATTGTAATTAGTGGCCAACCATTCTCTCTTCTCCCTCCCCTGCCTAATACAATTTTAAGAGATTTCATTGTTTCTTTTTCTTTTGCCTTTCAGATTGATTATACAGTACCTACTGTGATAGCAGAGGAAATGAGTTATATGTAGTAAGTGTGGATTTTTGCTGATTTTATTATCTAATAACAAAGTATAAGGAATATTTTCCCTTTCTTAATTTTCATAATTTCAATTAAAAAAATAACCACATTGTCATATTTTCCTTCTGGCTGCCAATCATCTATTTTTCTCTTCATGCTACTGTCTTAACATAGATAACCTTTATGTACAGTAGACATCTGATATCTGTGGGTCTATGGGTCCTACGAGACCACCATTGAGAAAACCCACAGATGCTCAAGATACAGAATTCAGTGATGACCTCCAGATGCTTGATATGTTTTCCCCATAATACTTCTACTAAAGACACAACACCTTTCAATTAATAAAACATTTAACTTTAACATTTAAATTAAGTATCATAAAGTTGATCTTGATTTTTGGACATCATTACTTTATGGAAGGTAGATTAAGGACAGTAGAGCACACAATGTTTTAAACACAACTGATGGTAATATGGGACCAAGTGACTGCTTCGCCACATCATCTAAGCTATGTAGTACACCTATGAGAATTTAAATTTTTAGTTTCTGAAATTTCTTTTTGATATTTATGACCATATTTGGTCAAAACCATGTGTAGTAAAATATTAATAAGTCAGGCTTATTATATGTAATATCTATACACACAAATTTACTTTATATAAATATATCCCTCATTATTATTTGTTATACTAAGAAGCATATCTTAAAATATTCTTGTTCTTTTAATGTAAGAAGATAAAAGTGCACTCTATATAAAATATACACATATATTGTATATATATGCAATATGCTACATATATAGTATATACTATGCTTATACATATATACTATATAGTGTATGTATATACTATGTATGTATAACTTATGTGTATGTACTATATATTTTATATATACATATAGAATATGCAGTATAGTATGTATAGTATATACCTATATAGATAGGTATACATATACTATATAAATAGTATATAACATGCTATATATCATTTATTATTAATATACTATATACATACTAGTATATATATGCATATACTAGTATATATATATATATGTTTTTATATATGTGTATGTATAGTATATATTCATATACTATAGTATATACATACTTCATATACTTCATATGGTATGTGAAGTATTCATATATAAGAATATTTCATATAGAATATCCTATAGTATTTATATGGTATATCATATATACTATAATATAGTAAATAATATGCCTTGAGCATAAAGGCAAAAGGCCTTGAGTTCATTCGTGCTCCAGCACCAACACACACACACAATGGTGAAGAAATGTGTAACATTTTTGTACTGGCATTTGAACTCAGGGCCTTGTGTTTGCTAAGCAGGCCTTTACCACTTGAGACACACTTCCAGCCCTTTGTTGCTCAAGGTTACTGTTTTAGATTGGGTCTTATGGTTTTTCCCAGGGCAGGCCAGTACCACCATCCTTCTACCTAAGCCTCTTGCATTCCTATGTCCACAGTCTCATGCCACCATGTCTGGCTTATTTTTGAGATATGACGACTCTTGTTAACTTTTTACCCTGATAAACCATTCCTGTTGTCTATATTCCAAGTAGTTGGGATTGCAAGTATAAGCCCCCATGCCCAACTAAATGGGTAAGTATTATATAGTGTAGTAAAACAACTCTACAACTCTGCAACTCCAGTGATATGAATGCACATATCTTTTTGGAAGTCATGAAAAATCTGTTACTATTTGACGTCTACCAAATGCTTGAACAGTGAATATGATATATATACACATACACGTGTGTGCACTATATCTGTGTCTGTTTGTGTTCTCAGTAGTTTCTTGCCAGTCATGTGCTTGCACTCCTAGATGTCTGGGGTAGGATTACTTGAGCCCACGAGCAATGTATGGAAATCTCTTTAAAAAAAAGAAAAAGTATGCAAATAGTCTCTACTACCCTTAATGTAGAAGATTTTTAATTTTATAATTAATTACATGTATTTATTTGCTTCTTAATATTTTAACAGTGACTTCTGCACATTGATATCCATCAAAGTGCATAACATAGTACTCATGATGCAGTAAGTATGAATTTTTTTGAAAATTCATTTCTTTTTAAAGATTTATATTTGCAATGTTGTCTTGTGGCCTACACAGCATCTTTACAAATGATATCTTAAGCCTTACTGGTATTCCCTTTATGATTAGAGAAGGTATTTGGAAAACAGTTGCTCAGATAATAAAGGATCATCTGCTGGATGCAGAGGAGCTCAGAAAATGCAGAAGCTGGAGAAAGTCTAACTCCTAGTTTCATTCTTTACTGTCATTGTAAATCTTAAAAGAAATGAAGCCGGGGGTCGAGGAAGAGGTATTTAAAAAGCCAATAAAACCTGGTTGGTTAAAGCTTGAGTCTTTTAACCAGAGCATTTGACTATCATTTTACCTATGAGGGGGGAGCTGTATAATTATTTTTAAGCATGCAATGAACTACTCCACTTTTAAACTAAAGGTGACTATTTTTATGTTTATTGTGCTTAATAATTTGGGTTTATTCCACCAGAATTTTTGTGTCTAGTAGAAAAATACTTTGTAAAAGACTAGTATCCATAATGTCATGAATACCAAATAATTGATCATTAATCATAATGAATAATTCTATTTCATAAATATAATGACTTTGTGTTGTATTAATTAGGATTAAGTTGGACTTACAACAAATAATCTGTAATCTCTTTTTTAGAGTTACCGTGACCACAGCATACTTTGGCCACTCTGAGCAGATATCCCAGGAGAGGTACCAGTATGTGGACTGTGGAAGGAACACGACCTACCAGCTGGGGCAGTCTGAATATCTGAATGTCCTTCAGCCTGAACAGTGATAGCAGAAAGAGGTGCAGTTAGATAAGATGGTACTTTCTGACCTCTCTAGGAGGAGGTACTTCCTAATAGCTGATCTTAAATTGAAAAACCTAAAGTTTACGCCTCTTTTAAGAGTTCAGCTGAGAGAAAGTGGACTTGGAGCTCTCCAGTCTGTGTTGTACCATGATATTTTACTTGAACATAAGTTATTGATTGGCTTGTACCCTCTGACCCTAAAAGAGAAAAAAACATATTTTCCCTGTAACATATAACTTAAAAGTCATACAGAGAATCCCTAACTCTAAGCCAGATAATTTTGGTGACAAAAATAATTTGAGAAACTTAATTTCTAGATGTTTTTTATAGAAAATTACCAAGAACCTATTATTCGTGGAGGACTTTGTTTTTTTTTTAAAGATAACCTTTTCTTCTCGTTTTATATATGGCATTGTTTCAAAGGGTAACATTTCAACCACATAACACTTTAGCTTTTAGCTAAACATTTTTAGTTTTAATTTGTTGAAATTCTATTCATTTGCATGTCTTTGACTTATTTCAAGCTGGTGACTGCATCACTTACCAACCAGAATGATCTTTGTAAAATATTTTACCTAAAACTTTCAAATTCTATGTTTCACATGTTTTTCCATGTTACATAGCCCTTTAATGTACAATATTGTAAATAAACTGCATGCCTTTATACAGCTTTGATAAATGTCCAATAAAGTGATAAACATTCAAAATTTAAAGTTAGTTGTTCAGAAAAATAAAGAAAATAGGAAAATGAAATTCAGAAGTCTAAAAAGTATGAAAAGATTCTAATTATATGTTGGATCTGGCATAAAATAGATTTGAAATAAAACATTTTGATGCTTCACTTTTTTATGTTGCTTTTCATACTAAGAAATGGCACATATGCTGTTTATTCAGATAGAATAGGTGCCTAGTCATCATTTTTGTGAGAGTCTTAGAGGATAGGATTATATTTTTATTGAAACTATTCAAGAAATCCTGTCATCAAGTGATAAAACCTAAATTGTGGTTTTTAAAATGTAATCACTTTGTACATTATATGACAGGACCCCTCTGGCTGTAACATTTGTAAGGTTTTCTACTTTTGTTTTTAATTTTACTTAAAATTGTTTTCGGCCATAAATTTTGACTTACTCACTTGATTGTTTTATGTTTTCGATATCATTGTCTACTATGCCTTTTTCCTTTCTCACCAAGTTCTAAGGCTCTTTTAAATACATTAACACTAAGTATAGGAACTATGATAACACAAACAAAAACAAAACAAAACACCAACCAACAAATAAGGTCAAGTTAACACATCACTTTCCCTTTTGGTTCTCTAGTAGCAAGAGTCAGGTTTTTCTTCCCATCCCAAGTGCCTAACTCAGTTCTAGAAATTGCCTCTAGCAGTCTGATTCTTGCAACAATACACATAAACTTTGTTATTCTGCCTTTAAATGCATGTCTTCCCTTAGCTTTCATATTGATTGCTCCATGTTCCAGAATGAGCAGTTTAAATAAATGGAATGTTTTGTTTTTGTTTAACTTTTGTTTTTGGTTCTGTTTAGCCTTTCCTGCATCCACTGACAAGTCCACTCTCCTCACTATTAAACTCAGATTACTCTTTCTTTCAATTCACTAAGACCTGCCGCTCAAACACAAACTTTATTTTGATTTTTCTCCTACCATCTTTTCTGGCCACTCCTAATCTCTTTGAAAACATACAATTCTCCAATGTACTGATTCTACTAACATTTTTCTACCTTCCTTTCTTATTCCTCTCCTCTCTTTTCCTCTTCTCTCCTCTCCTCTCCTTTTCTTTCCTTCCATGCATTCTTCCTTTAATATTTCCTTCTGTACTTTCTTCCTTCTATATTTCCTTCCTTCCATTTTTTACTTAGAATTGAACTGAAGCCTTGTGCATGCAAAGCAAGCACTCTACCACTCATGCCAGTACTTTTTTTGTTGATGTTCCATTTTTGAGATAAAGCTTTGCTAACTTTGCCCCGGATGGTTTTGAACTCATAAGCCTCCTTCCTTCCCTTTCTGATAGGCACTTGTCATCACACTAGCCTTTTCAAGTCAATTAAATTTCTTTTTTCCTCTTTCTCTTATTTTGACATGATTTATGTCTATGAATGAACTAGACCTTTTTGCATCAAAATTTCTACTTTTGTCTTTGAAAATCATGGTATAATACATTGTTGAATTGTGAAATTTGGCACATTTATAGGTTCATATTTATCTAGTGAACTAGATTATTTCAGTGACTCTCTGCTGTGTGGGGCAACAACAAAAATGCTAGAGAAATCCTTGTTTTTGTTTTTGTTTTTGTGCCAGTACTAGGGCTTGAACTCTGAGCTTAGGTACTGTCCTTGAGCACCTTTTGCTCAAGGCTGCTAGTGCTCTATCATTTGAGCCACAGTGCCACTTCCAGGTTTTTCTAAGTAGTTTATTGGAGTTAAGAGTCTCACAGAAGACTTTCCTGCTCAGGTTGGCTTTGAACCACAATCCTGAGATCTCAGCTTCCTGTGTAGCTAAGGTTACAGGTATCAATCACAGCACCTGGCAGACAAATCTTTCTATAATTGATTTTTTTTCTCACCATGTCTTTATGCTACAATTATATCTAAGTCAACATTCCTTTCTTCATAGATATCCTTTAGATATACATTATCTGATAATCAGTTCTCATTTTCTTGCTCTGTATATTATAACCCTGGAAGATTATATACCATAACTTAAAACAAATTTGTCTGATGCTCTGTGACTCATACATCCTCTTGGAATACAGGCATCATATCTCTTGCAGAGGCAGGAAATGGAGGCATATTTGCACTTAGTCACTTAGTTTTTATCTCTTCTTTTTATTCTTTAAATTGAAAACTCAGTTTCATTTAGTTTTAGTGAAATTTGAATCACAATAATATTAAAGCAAATAAAAGGACAATAGAAGAGATCTCAAGATTGTCTGGGACTGCTTTCAGAGAAGTAAAAACTACCAGAAAAGGCCTGGATCAAAACAGGCTAGACCGGAGAAATGTATTTTGGAGACACAAAAGTATAGCCATTAAAAAAAAATCTGGAAAGAATATTGAAGGTTTTCATTTTTCTTAGATGCCAGTGTAGCTTCTTATATGGAAATAGGATAAGTCTTAATATATATTTTTATAATTACTCGCACATGTTACGCAGGGACACGGCAAAGATAAACTTTTCCTAATACTTTCAGGAATAACTTTCCTTTAAGTTATACCTTAAAAGCCTCATCATTTTGATTTCATGGTAGTGGCTGTTGTGAGAGTCCTTGAGACCTTCTCTCATGACTTCTCAAAGGAGGATGAAAGGATCCTCTTCTAGAAGTGGAAGGGAAGATATAGAGACATTGAAGACTTGCTTTAAGAGTGCATATTTTGTAAATAGTTTAGCCGAGAACAGACATTGTTTCTCTGTCTCCCACATCTGTGGGAAATCATTGAAAATAGTCATTGGAAAGCCTTGCTAATATGATAAATATTAGAGGAAGAATTCACATAATAATGATGATCCAAATGATGCAGATAGCATAAGATTATGCTGTTGGAAATATTTTAAATGAGAATGAACATTTGAGGAATATTTTTAAGTATAATCTACAGCTATATATTTTTGTTAAGATTTAGAGCTTTTTAAGAATGATACCCCAAATTCTATCTCCAGTACTACAAAAAAAAAAGGAAAAAAGATGTAGTGCTTCTTGATCATTTGAATAATGTGTTATCAGAGCTAGTATTTATAAACAATACAGAGATTACATTTGAGATTTGGAATTCAGGATGAAAATAATTAGTTATTAGGTACCAGATAAATGTAATTGTTAATCATTTTTACTGTGTAAATGTTTAAATGAATTTTATTTATGTGCAGTTTTTTAGTACCCTTTTTGTTTGCTTATGCATATGAGGTAATTATTATCTCTAAAGGTTAACAAGAAAACATAACTCACTTCCAATCTCCCGATTGGTAGTTTGTAAATGATACAGCACAGTATAGAAATGGAGGAGGCTGATGTCAAAACACAATAAAGTGGCATGTATTAGGAGACTGACAAGTGTAGTCTAATGCATCCTTTGTGGTTCTGAGCCCTATTACTGAAGGTTAGTTCTGGATGTTGAAATTTTAATTTTTTTTCACTACTTAGAGAAAACAGTTCTTCATGGAATGATTCTTTCTTATGAAAATAATTTCATCTACACCCAGAACATGAATCTAGATAAGCGACTACTTAGGAAGGAACAGCAAAGTGAGAAGGGAAAAAGAGTAATAGAGGGTCAGTAATTTTGGAAAGGATGCATACAGTCAAAATTTGTGTTTGTTTCTATGAAAACTGAGCAAGGAAACCTGTTGAAATTGTTTTGAGAATGGGGAAGGAAAAGTAATAGAAGGGGTAAGGGTGAGATTGATTGCAACATATTGTAATCATGTATGGAAATATCTCATTGAAATTTCCCTCTATGTAACTAGTGTGAACTGATAAAAAAAATGGCAGACAAATAAATGATTATTTCAGCTAAATACTTTTTTAAATGAAAGAAATTTTTACATTTTAAGATGCATAGCAGAGTTTGCTAGGCAGTGTAATCTCCCAGTCCTATGACTAGTTTATTTGCTGTGTTACAAGTAAAGATTTTTAGTTCACGGTATCTAGAAGCAGCAGCTACTGCCTCAAACTCATCCCAAGAATAATTAGTTTTATTTCACTAATTTTTATGTGAAGTTCTTAAATGATATGCATACCTTAAATGATTTTATTTTAAGGAAAAAATATATTTGAGATAGGGGAGTAAAAAAGACCATGGAGCATTATTTCTTTAATTTTTTACATTAAAACAAAATATATTTGTGTTGTTCTTGTATCAAAAACTTTTATAACCCCTATCTATTTCTATTGAAATAAATATTTTCACTTGTCAGTGTATTTCTTATTAGAACTAGCATTTGAATATCACTGCTTATTTAGGAAACAGATTTCTATGAGAGCAAGGAAAGGGGTGATATTGTCCAAAAAAAAAAAATGTACTCATTACCTGACTTATATAACTGTAACCGCTTTGTACATCACCTTTATAATAACAATAAAAAATAAATTCAAAAAAAATTAAAAGAAAATAAATTTCCCAGTGAAGTTTTGAGATTTATCCTTGGAGAAAAGCAAAATGGATATAAAATCAAATGATTATTTTAAGGATAAAATAAATTTTTAATTTAATTTAATTTTTTTATTTTTTTATTTTTTTGTCAATCATGGAGCCTGAATTTAGCTTGGGCACTGTCTCTCAGCTCTTTAGCTCAAGGCTAGCACTCTACCACTTGAGCCACAGAGCCACTTCTGGCTTTTTCTGCTTATGTGGTACTGAGGAATAGAACTCAGGGCCTCATGCATGCAAGCCAAGCACTCTGAGACACCTTCCCAGCCCGAATTTTAATTTTTAAACTAATGTGATTATATTTGTAGTTTATATGTGTGTTTAACATCAATTCTGAAGTTAAGAGTATGTACAGTATGGTCTATTTTTTACTCTTAAAAGTATTGCATACATTAACAAATATATGGCAAGTTTTTCATTCATAGTTTAAGTAAGGAAATTGTTGCCTCTGTT